AAATTTAAATATTGTTGACAATTTCTTCAACTGGTTTGCATTTATCTTAGGGTGAAAAAAAATGTATAGAGTATTAAAAAAACAGGCAAAACACTTTTTATTTCAAGTTTATTTCAAGTTTGAATAGTTTGTTTTCATGGCACCAGTTACAAGGGACTACTGGAGAAACAATATTTGATACTGAATTGTACAGATTACCTACAGTACAAACATGGGTTTGGAATGAATCAGACTGAACAAGAACTGGGTTTGGCACATGGACTTTTATAGATAAATATATATATTTGTATATGCAATGTAATTAAACAGCAATCTCCAATTCAAGGATAAAACGAGGCAGACATAAACACACCACCAGACATGGAGATGCATGTTCACATTTTAAGGTGTGCAACACTAGGTTTGTTTACGGGAGTAAAACGAAGGAATAAGACATCTTCAGGTATGGCAATTTTTTTTTATCAACCCTGTAATGCAACAACACACACCTGCATAAATATAACATAAAAATCAGATGAGCCACTTGGGTTATTTTGGTTGTCAGTTCTTAATGAGTTTAAGTTAATTCAGGTTTCGGAGGTCGCAAAAAAAAAAACAGTTCAGCAGAAAACATATTGCAAAATACAACTTTAAATAAACATCTTTCTGAAGCAGCCTTRATTCACATCACGCCAAACTCATTTTCACAGAGGGCCACGGGTTGAAATTAACTTTGATGTTTTGTGTTTAACTTGGACTAAACACAAAACATCCAAATAATCAACATGCATTATGGGAGATGTAGTTTATAGTCAATGCTGGCTTTGAGCAGCAAACTCTCATTTTAAGACAATACATCTTTAAAGCGCTTGTGGGCCACGTAAAATGTCATGCTGGGCCACATTTGGCCCCCGGGCCTTGAGTTTGACATGTGCCACACAGGCTTTACTCATTTTTAAATAAAAGCAATCTTCCAGTGTATACATGTTTGGAAGGCTGCCACTTCAACCACTGATGAATAGCAAGATGTTACAAACCTGTTGTCATCTCCCTACATAAACAAAATTGTAAAAGACCAAATTTTAAAAAATGTACATGTGCACATTTCCAAGAAAATAAAATTCTAAAGGGTTTTGGGCTTCCTGGTGTTCAGTACAAACATTTTCAGACACTTATTTATCTTCACCTCCTATAAAGACGTAGAGGTTTGTTGCAGAAAAGGATGATGTCTCCATTTCTTCTTTTTTTTAGCCACTTTGGTACTTATAGGTTYGGATGCAGGCACAAGGAGCAATATGTCACTTAATGAACCAGAAGCTAAAGAGAAAAAATATCCACATAAGAGGGCTCAAATAAAAAAAATGGGATTTTTTTTCCTTTTTTTTTTCTTCCAAATATAAAATGTTATTACAGAAACCAACAATAGCTCAGTGGTCACATTGTAAAAGTAAGAACAGCAGCAATTCAGCTTTTCTACAAACATGATGAACGATCAAACATTACTCGACGGTTTATCTTAATATACAGGTTTGTAAATCACATCTTTTTGCTCTATCAGCTGATTATTGCTCCTTGAATAATGGTGCCTCCTATTTAAAAAAAAGTCTTGCATGTTCTGAGTGTGAGAGACCACTAAAGCTACATMGTGCTGCTCGATAGCTGAAAAACACCCTCACACACAGTTTTAAGAAAAAGCTCAGCTGATGAGTTGTGCTGACCTCTGTGAAGAAATAAATATGATGCATGAGTGCACGCTTAAAAAAAAATCAATCCACCCATGCTTGCTTCACTGGTTGTTAGGAAAAAATGTGCTTTTTGTATTTGCTTTCTTTTACTGAATTGAAAAGTAAACAGTCCTGAATGGACGACAGGGTTTCCTGCCCGTGTAGCTCGTTTGGTTTGATGGTTTGTTCCAGCGTGCTGCTCTTCACCGGAGAGAACAGTGGCTTTCTGAACGATGATGAGCAGCAGCCGTGGAGCCAGCCACATCATGCTACTCTGTGGTCAGAACTACAACTTCTTCAATATGGGCTCAGTTTGAACAAGAGCAAACTGAAAAGTAAAGCAACTGTACAATCTATAGAYTCATGAGGCGCAGCATGCTCTCTGTCCACAAGCTGAACTTTCTGTTCCTGTAGTCTTCTGTGCCTATCTTCCCTTTTCTTGCTAGTGATCCACTAATTTTGTCAAATTCAGTTTTCATTCCTAAACATAAACAGACAGAAACTATATCCTAGATGCAAATAATATACAAAAAAGAATAAATAAAATAAATCAGCAGCCATGATGCTTATTGCTCCCCGTAGCTGAGAGGCAGAAAAGTCCAGATCCCGACCCAAATATAAAGCAGCCATTCTTATTTGATAGTAACTGAAATTACATCGCGGTAATGTTTAATTCAGAATGTGATATTCAGTTTTCAAAAATAGTTTAAGTCAATCAAATGACATCTGCCTTGGTGTTTTTTTTTTATTACATATTGCCAAACAAAATTTAACACTAAGTTATGTGATATCTTAGATTTTTTTTAAGTGAGGTTCAGTGGAAACATGAACAAATAGTATCTTACCTGTTYTAGACAATTCTTTGAAAGAYCTTTGTTTGGAGAAATAGAGTTTAAAATCGACCGAATTGAGGAGATAAATGCTAGTCTGAGCAGGACCAATTCGAAAGTCACCTGCTGGAGTCTTAAAACAAGTCCAGTCTCAAAAATGTCAACAGAGTTCAATCAACTTCCCCCCAACTCCCTCTTATAACCGATTACAGTGCTGCACATTTCGCAATATGTTCCTATTTACGTAATACGTAAACGCATCTAGTTCGTATGAACTGTTGTGACATTTTTTTTAAGATTGACGTTGTTATAGGATGGCAAATTTCCACTGAATTCATGGCGTGGGTCACACTAGCTATTAGCTCACCAAATCCTGTCAGAATTAAACTCTTATTTCTCCAAAATGACGTCCTTCAAAGAACGAGCTACAACAGGTAAGATACTTATTGACTTAAGCTATGATTTAAGTTGTTTTATATTTGTCAATCTGTTGACGCAATCAGGTTCAAAGCCCCTCACTACTCTCTTCAAGTAAATTAAGATATGGTAAGTTAATGAAATGTTAAAATACATTTTTGGGTTAATTGTGCCAGTATAAAAATGAAGATCCTGACTGTATTTGATGTAAGTGACTATAAACTGTACACACACCGACCGACTGCTGGTAGAGGGATGGGAGATGGGAAAACTGGTGAGTGAATCTGGATAAAAGCCCTGTTTGCTTGTTTCAAAGCCTTTCCATGTCTCCATAAATGCCTCTGACCTCGCTTGAAATGCAGCGCTAAAAAACATAGTTTTAAATCTTCGATAACAAAATAACATTTCAGTTCTGGTAAAATATACATGGAAAAAAACCTGTAAATATATATAATAGGAAACAAACTTGTTTCGTACAAAACGTACATCACTACTCTTATTCTAGCAGTTATAGCTATTATAGTATAATACATAAACTTAGGTGCAAGGTTGAAACGAAACCAAAAAAATAGATCAAACTCTTCTTAAAAAGAAATAATTGAAATTCATTGAATTTCAGTCTGATGAAAAATTAATTCATTTCATGAGAGAAAGAAAAGTGAAGAACTGAGCACATTTAAAGTACTTAATTAATAAAAATCACATCAGCATCGAACATCTATCTAGACTATTATCTATTGGTGCCAGAATATCTTCTCTAATTGCATCAGACACTAATGGGTCACATGACACTACCTGTTTCTGTCAAATGTTTAAAAAAAACTACTTTGATCTTCATCAGAGGAGCTTGTGTAACACTGTTTACTGAAGTTTAATTGTTTTAAATAAAAAAGTGTTAAACAGTCACAAATTTCTTCTCACAAAAAAGGCATTTGGTAATTCCCCGGTCTGTTTCTTCGTTCCTGAACCTTACATTTTTCTCTTTTCCTTTCTCCTTTCACTGTTCTGTTTATTTGATGACGTCAACCTGCCACCTTAACTCCTTCCAACCTTCTGACTCTGAACTTAACTCAGACTAATCAACTTCCTTGATAACTGTTTAAATACTCGTCTCCTTCTTTTATTCCAACATGTTTAAAAAGCAATAAATAAATAAAAGTCCATCCATTGCAAAAAGATTAAATAGAGTAAAATAAATTTTCTGTTCTCATTAAGCAACTCGTTAAAATTCCTCAGTTCTTCCATTTTTTTGTTTGTTTATTTTTGTGTTTTTCTTTTGTGTTTTGTTGAAAAAAAGAAATCCTGAAATGACTTGAAAGTTTATAAAATGCCAAAAAAAAAAAGGCTTTTCTTTTTTTTTGGACGAGGAGGATGAAAGAAGTGTTCATGGTTGGGACGATGATGCCACTCGTCACTCCAGGAGTCTTAAACATCCTCTCATGACTCCGCCCCCTGAACGAGGCTAAGGGGCTCTCACTTGTTGTCGTTAACGAGCAGCCCGCCCACCCAGCGGAGCTTGCAGGCAAACCACCGTCTGAGGGGACAAAAGTACTCGTAATGGAACTGCTCGAATTCAGGCGTCTGGCGGATGTCGCTTAAAAATGCAATGTCAAGGTCCGACTCGGTGAGGATGATGAGGAGGAGGAGCAGGACAAAAAGGAGTCCGATGGTCACGAGGAGCAAACGAAGGACACTTAATAGAAACTTATTCACCTGTTCCACCTCGCTGAGAGCCGAGTCCTTGCCTCCACTTTCCCTTGCAGACCTGCTGTCCGCGCCCAAACCACCCCACTCCCCTTGTGTCGGGGTGCCCGCCTCCGACTCCCTTTCCTCCTCGATGCTGCAGGGCGCCCCGTTGATTTGGCGCGAGACGGCCAGGTCCACGCCGTGCTCTGCCACCGGCGTGGGAAGCACGCTGTCCGAGGGGCTGTAGGCCTCGTCCGAGATGACCGTCATCCCGTCGCCGGCGTCCGCAGCCTGGCTCCGGGAGCGCGGTATCAAGGATTCCCCGTGGGACACGGAACGCACCGGTGTGGAGTGGGCACTGTCACGCAGGGACTCCAGACCTGATGAGGAAGAGGAACATTGGTATTATTGGACACATAACTACAGCTTCATTCATGATTAGAGTTAGAATCTAAGATTGTTTCTCAACAACGGTTCATACGGTCAGAAATGAGCTCGTCTTCTCCAAAATGATGCTGCTCAAAGAGCTATCTACAATAGATAAGATAGTGTTTCTCACCTTTTCCCTGAATCTCACATCAAAAGAGTTGAACAATCGATTTAAGAACCTTTTAACTAAAACCTGATTGAGACAAAACTTTTATTAAAGAACTTATGAGCTGTTATATAATGAATTTTATAACTCAGTTCTTTGAGGAGTCAGTATCCTTAGAGAAATGGTCAAATAAACACACAATACAAACACTAGACAAAATACAACCACTATTTTACATATAATGGCTAATTTGAATAAATAATGACAACTGTTTTGTAGATTTAGAGATGTTTCTTTTTTTGAACAGGTATGAGCAGCTCTGTAGGAGTAACTGCTCAATTTTTTACCAGGAAGTTTTACATCCCAGGCCCTGGATATCCACCATGTGGCGTTCGTGGATACATGGAGCAGAAGTTTTAGTGAAGACTCAGAGTCTCCACTTTCACACCTGATGTCTGATTTTTCATTTCTCAGAGCTACAAAAATCATCTCACCATATAAACTAAACCCAGCTTATAACACAATATAATAAGTATTGAACACGTCACCATTTTTCTCAGTAAATATATTACTAGAGGTGCTAATGACATGAAATTTTCACCAGATGTCGGTAACAACCCRAGTGATCCATACATACAAAGAAATCAAACCATAAATGCCCAGAAATGAAGTTATTTGTAATAATGTGGAATGGCACAGGGAAAAAGTATTGACCACATGAAGAAAGGGAGGTGTAAAAAGGCATGGAAAGCCAAGACACCAGCTGAACTATCTCAGTAATTAGAAAGCAAGCCTGCCCCTTGTCAGTGCAAGTTAATATCAGCTGGTTCAGACCCAAATGATGGCCAGGTATCACACAAGAACCATCTGATGATGGGTAAAATTAAAGAGCTCTCTCAAGACCTTCACAACCTTATTGTTGCAAAGCATAATGATGACATCAGTTACAGAAGAATGTCTAAACTTCTGAAGGTTCCAGTGAGCACTGTTGGAGCCATAATTCAGAAGTGGAAAGAACATTATTTCACCATAAACTGACCACGACCAGGTGCTCCTCACAAGATTTCTGACAGAGGAGTGAAAAGAATTATCAGAAGAGTTGTCCAAGAGCCAAGGACCACTTGTGGAGAGCTTCAGAAAGACCTGGAATTAGCAGGTACGTTTGTTTCAAAGAAAACAATAAGTAATGCACTGAACCACCATGGCCTGTATGCACGCTCACCACGCAAGACTCCACTGCTGAAGAAACAGCATGTTGAAGCTCCTTTAAAGTTTGCTGCACAACATTTAAACAAGCCTGTGTAATACTGGGAGAATATAGTCTGGTCAGATGAGACCAACATTGAACTGTTTGGATGCCAGAATACACATCATGTTTGGAGGTCAAATGGCACTGCACATCAGCCCAAAAACACCATACCAACAGTGAAGTTTGGAGGTGGGAACATCATGGTGTGGGGCTGTTTTTCAGCATATGGTACTGGCAAACTTCAAATAATTGAAGGAAGGATGAGTGGAAAAATGTACAGAGACATTCTTGATAAAAATCTGCTTCCATCTACCAGGATGATGAAGATGAAACGTGGCTGGACATTTCAGCAAGACAATGAGCCCAAACACAAAGCCAAGGAAACTCTCAGTTGGTTTCAGAGAAAGAAACTAAAGCTGCTGGAATGGCCCAGCCAATCACCTGACCTGAATCCAACAGAAAATCTATGGAAAGAACTAAAGATCAGAGTTCATAGAAGAGGTCCACGAMACCTTCAAGATTTGAAGACTGTTTGTGGAAGAATGGGACAAAATCACACCTGAACAATGCATGCCACTAGTTTCTCCATACAGGAGGCGTCTTGAAGCTGTCATTGACAACAAAGGCTTTTGTACAAAGTATTAGATAAATTTCAGTAAGTGTGTTCAATACTTTTTCCCTGTGCCATTCCACATTATTACAAATAACTTCATTTCTGGACATTTATGGTTTGATTTCTTTGTATGTATGGATCACTTGGGTTGTTACCGACATCTGGTGAAAATTTCATGTCATTAGCACCTCTAGTAATATATTTACTGAGAAAAATGGTGACRTGTTCAATACTTATTTTACCCGCTGTAAATGCACAAATTCATCCTTAATTTAAAAAACGGACGGTTTGTGTCATTTTCCCCCTATGTGCTTTTATCAACAAGAAAAACAGTAAGAAAAAAAAGCAATAAATTTTTTTAGGTATAGAAGGCTCTAAGGCTTTAAAGCTTTCACTCAGCTCTGTAAGCAAAGGTTTTTAGTAAATACCCAAGTTTCAAATGCAGCGTTCAGTCTGCAGCAGAGTTATTAGTACAGTAAACGAGAGACGCTCTACAGTGAAGACGAGCTCCAGCTGAGCACATTGCTGACGATGTCACATTCTCCAGTGTGTCAAAGCAGCAGCATTACCCTGTCACTGTAAAGAGAAGGGATTAAAATTAAGCATCTGGTGAGAAGGCGAATCATAAAAAGGACTTTAACTTGTGGGGGGAAGTAGGGCAGATTACGTCCAACCCTTAAGCCTCTGCTGACATGAAGCTGCTGTTGAGCAGAGAGTAAAAAAAAAACTAAAAGAATTTCAGCAGCCATCTTTACTGACTCATCTTTCTGTTTATTTTTGATTAAAATAATGTTAGGAAGTGGGAAATATATTTATAGATTTTACAAGACACAGCTTTAAAAGGAAATTTATCCAAGGAATGAACAAACTAAAGCGGCAACATCCCAACAAAAAGCACAGACACAGAAATGGTATCCGTCTTTTCTTGTCGCCACCAGTAAGCAGAGAGCTGATTTCAGATTAAAGAAGGATCCACTGCCTCCACATGACGCCCAGGCCTGCTGCCTCTGCGGTGAGTTTACCTGGAGGGTTGCTGGGTGGACTGCAGGGCAGAGGAGCACCGTGAAGAGGACTGACTCTGGCGGACTCCTGCTGCCCCATCAGGGCAGGATAGAGGGGCAGCACTCCCAAGGCTTTGCCCAGCATACGAGGCCCCAGGCTCAGCACCCGAACCTTCACATCCCGGTAGCAGTGGTTGATCATGCGCAGGTGAACGTTCACCCGGGTGGTGATGCGGATCAGACACTTCACCATGGCTGCACGTCCCGACCCTGTCCTTACGGTCCCTGTCCAGAGTCTGAGTCCACAGGTTTGCAACTGTTCGTGGAGGTGAAACAGTGGCTTTCTGCAAGCAGCACTTCAGTCACCAGCCTCCTGGCGTTGCCCCACCCAGGCCAGTGACATACATGGAGCAGAAGACCCTGGTTATTTTCAGCTGGGGTATTAATACCACTCTAAGACACCCCGTCAGCATGCACAGAGGGGTTGGAAAGTCTTATGGTTCTCTGAAATACACAGTAAAAGACTCTAACTATACACAAACCCCCTGCTGCTGACCCTTATCTAACTGTAAAAACATGAAAATCAACCTCAGTGTTTTACCTAAAAAATACTAATGAGTCCATTTTCCTTACAGACACCCCACGACTGACTGCTCCAGCTCAACAAGTGACCTTAACTGCCAGTGTGCAAAGTAAACACAGTCATACATATGTCTAAAACGATCCTTTGAACTGAAGCAGACTGAGTGACGCACACACCTGCAGCCGGCCCCTCTAACATGAACTCAGCCAAATGGCTCCAGTTTCAGATTGTGTTGGAGAGAGAGCAGGGTTTTACTCAAAAGGGGGAGGAACTCTCACAATTTAAGACTTTCTGCCCACCAGTTTGTTGCAGTCATACATGACTATATGAAAGAAATATATACAACAAAATGTGGTTTTCTTAGCCTTTACCTTACACATGGACGAAATATGGCCTCACTACGAACAAACAAAAACAACTTGAAACAAGAGAATCTTCTGTGAAACTACAGCAAAAATTCTTCGTACTGAAAGATTTTTGAAGGAAAAAAAGATAGAAAATTTTCCAATTGGTAAAGAAAAAGCAATGAAATTAGCAGAAAAGTAGCTAAAAGGTATTATTAAAAGCTTACTCCAGCATATGGAAGTAGAAATAACAGATTGTTGATTTAAGCAATAAGAAGCTGAAATTATTACAAAAAGAAATTTAGCTGAAAAAAGCTAAAAAATAGCTGAAAAAGTTCAAAATAGCTTAAATTGCAGAAACTGCTCAAAGAAGCTGATAGAAGCATAAAAAAAGTTGAATCATAAAAATAAAATAAAATAAAAAACAAACATAATTGAAAAAGAAAAAAAGCAAAAATCAGAAAAAGAAGAAGCTGAAGGACACTGAAAACAGCACAAAGAAGTACAAAAACAAACAAAAAAAAACAGAACAAAAGGGGAGAGGTGCTGTAAAGATTAATAAACATTTTGAAGAGTTTTATGGATGTTGAATGGAGCTCCATTCATTTTCAATTAAAAAAAAGATGGATGAAAAAGCTGCCATTACCATTAATTACCCCCTCCCCCCAGATATTTGGCCACTGAGCCGTTGGCTTTGATTAACTGAGCAGTTTAAAACAAAAACCTTCATATAGGTGGTTTGACCACAGGTGGCCATGAGATCAGGTGAGGTAATGATTTATGCAAAACAGTCAATTTTGCCACAAAAAAAAAGACCTGGGCAATTATTTTAGGAAGATAATTCAGTTTAATATATGTCTCTCTATATGTGGTTTATTTGACTGGGTTAATGAGGCCCTCTGGTTACAAAATGTTGTCCTCTCCTGGTTTAGTTCCTGCTTCAAAKAGCTTGAGTTCAGTTCTTACCCTCCATGATTGATATGTGCACAGCTCTCCGACGTGTGCGCGGTACGCTGCTGAGGCGAGGCCCGTGGGTGATTGATGGGCAACTTCTACTGGGCACGAGACCAGCCCTGTAAAGACAACATAAAGCCCAAAATATCTCTGAACTGAGAGACAGTAAATCACCCTGAAGGAGAAGCTGACAGCAGCACGTAAAGTGCAGTGAAAACCTCAGATTAAACATTCGGTTTATAACTCTACCTGTGGATTTCCGGAGGTTCACGTTTGATTTTGGCACTCTGCTCCATCACCTCTTTCGCAACTCGTCCGCTGGTGAACAACAGAAATAGATTGAATTAAACACATATGTGCAGTTATCATGGTTTCACTCTGCGAGCCATCACTGCAGCCGAGGGTTTACAGTTCATGAGCGTTCATGATCGAATTAACCTGGAGAGTTCAGCTCTGCGTAACTGAATCACCACCAGAGACACACACACACTTGTTTTTATATCCTTGTGGGGCCCGTCCATTGACTTCCATTCATTTTTTTGGTAATTTTATGTCCTAACCCTGACCACAAACCCTAAGCGCTAACCTCACAGGTACCTTCCTGACCCTAAAACTAACCTAAACTCAATTCATACCTTGGTCCTAAACCCAACCTCCACACCCAAAATCAGCCTCTGAAGTTGTGGGGCCCAAAGCCTGGGCCCCACAAGGAGCACCCGCTGCATTTTCATCAAAACTGGGCCCCACGATGTAAGAAAAACAAGGACACACACACACACACACACACACACACACACACACACACACACACACA